CTGACGGCGCTGAGAGTGGACATCCGGCAGCAGTTAGCCCAAGAGCTCAGGGGCATCAGCCTGATGACAGATACCCTGGAGCTGACGCTTGGTGTGAAGTGGATGGACCCCTACGAAGTTGCCACCGAGGAGGGACTTCTCCCACCTTTGCCTCGGCAGGAGACAGAGCGAGCCATGGAGATCCTGAAAGTGCTCTTCAATATCACATTTGATTCCAGCAAGAGGGAGGTGGACGAGGTAAGCTCCTTAGGTGTCCCACCCCACTGCATTTACGTGTCTCCGGGCTGTGGTTTGACTACTGGTTTTCTCCTCCGCTGGCATTTCCTCATATGACATTCTGTCCTTCGTGCAGCTTCCCAGTACATGTAAGGGTGGCAAGAGACTTGTGTGTCCGGACCTTCCTCCCTCGAGCACTCCCTCTGTCCAAGGCATTATTAACCCTTAAGACTTTCAGAGTGTTACAACTTAAAAATTGGGTAGTCTTCCTTCTTAATGACATGATTTGTTGTGCAAGTGAGACGGCAGAGCCCTCGGATAACTCGCTTCTGAGTGTGGCCTGGTACTCTTTCACCTTCTGGACAAGGTCAAAAGAAGGTGTGGTGGAGGAGATCTCTGGCTAATCCACGGGCCTGTTTCGGGGCCTCTTCCAGCCCTTGACTCAGTGTTGTAGAGTGCGAGGAAAAGTATGGGGCAGCAGGAAGACTTGTGTGTTGACCTCAAAAGCAGAATCGGGAGGCTGCTTCCATTTAAATGCCCTGCTGTCAGTTGTCAGGCTGCTGGAGGGAGGGATGGGGCTGTGGGCTGCAGGGGCAGCAGGTTCTGGGATGTGGAGGATCCCCTTTCCTGATCACGGTTTTCATTTTCTATTTTGGGGCCAGGAAGATGCTGCTCTGTACCGGCACTTGGGTGCCCTCCTGCGCCACTGCCTCATGATCTCTGCTGATGGAGAGGACCGGACAGAGGAGTTCCACAGGTCTCTGTTAGATAACTAGGTCGTGATCTTCACTAGAAACGGGTCTCCCCAAGGCAGATCCTGCCTGACCTTGGCATTAACGTCCTCTGCTTGTGTGGGGATTGCTGAGGTCACTGCTGACAAGCAGCATCTTTGGTTTGGCCTGCAGGTTCCTCGTGCTGCTAGCCCTCAGAAATAGCCCTGCCCTTCCCACAGGTCATGTCTGCCAACGCCACAGCCTCCCGGCCTGCAGGAGGAAGTGTTTTCTCCAGGCCTGCCCGACCCCAAGGGCTGTATTCAATATCCCGCGTCAGGCGTTCTTGACAGTGCCACCCACTTTGGTGGGCAACTTGCCAGAGCAGATGTTTGGTACTTTTTAATTAAAGAGTCCATGGGCTGGCCTAATTAACTCTCTGTCTCTTGAGCTGTGCTGAGGAATTGCCTGTGTCATATTGCTGAGCATTGTTGACCCAGGAGCGTCAGCTTTGAGCAGGTGACACCATCCTGTCCCCAAGAAAACTGTAGTCAGAGGAATCCTAAGCAATGTATTGCACGGACCATCAAGGTGAGGAGGGGTGATGCAGCAGCAGACCCTAGAGAAAGACCTGTGACCACCCAGATTGGTCCTGCTTGGTCTCTGTTGAGATACATGGTTTCTCAGTTGTCACCGAAGTCTCTTTGGACTCCCAGCAAATAGTTCAACCACCCAAAAAGCAGTTTAATTTAACCCTTTTTAGTGGTGTGAGGAGCTTGGAATGCAGTCCAAAGACAGCTTGGATGTCAGGGTCCTCACGCTCCTGGAAGTTAGTAATGAACCCTCCTTTCTGCATAGCTGAAGAACTTCTGTGAACAAAGATCCATGACCATGTGTTCACTTCTGTTCTCTTTTATATGTTTAGTCATACGGTTAACCTTCTGGGCAACCTGCCCCTGAAATGTCTGGATGTCCTCCTGACCCCAAAAGTCCGGCCAGGCTCACTTGAGTACATGGGTGTCAACATGGACGCAGTCAGCATCCTGCTGGATTTCCTAGAGCGGCGCCTTGACAGGGTGAGTTGTGAGGCTGCTGTGCGAGTTCGTCACTACTCGGTTTTTGTAGGTTCACTGCAGGGCACCTTTCCTTTGGCCTACGCTCAGCCTCGGAAAGCCCGGTGCCAGCACCGCAGGAGCACCAGCAAGGCATGGTTAGTTTGGAGATACCCCTTTATAGAAGGGGCAGTTTTTAGCAGAGGCAAAACTGTTATGGTTGGTGGGACTAAAACAACATCTGTTGACTGGGAAGGTGACTGCATCATTGCTCTGTGGACTGCATAAAGTTGAACAACTGCGATTGGTTGAACAGTGGAGGATTAGCTGGGCGATTGAAATATAGGTGCTCTGTTTCGCTCAACTCAGTAGTGATCTGGTGGGCAGCTTCTGGAAGCCTGAATTTGCATTATTTTCAAGGTGGCTGTGGTTTTCAGTCTCTGGAGTTATGCCAAAGGGCCTCCAAATTTCACCACTGCACTTCTCCTCTCTGGATGCCCCACACGCGTATTTCTAGCACTGCCATGCCGCAGAGCAGGGCTTGGAAAACTGCGGTTTGAGGAGTGACAAAGCACGGAAATTCCTGTAGCACAGGCTGGAAAGCTTTGGTGTCCATCTGTTTCCCTGATGGTCTGTACTCGTGTTGTCCACCACAAGCCAGACAAGGTGAGCTCAGTGTGACTAACGTATTGTTCATTTTGTGGACGCTTCTGCAGGGACACAAGCTGAAGGAGAGTTTGACCCCTGTGCTGAACCTGCTGACCGAGAGTGCCCGAGTCCACCGCCAGACGAGGAAGTTCCTGAAGGCAAAGGTACGTGGTGGTTCAGCCGAAGTTAAATGAAGCTGCACTGAGGAGAGAGGAGAATAGGAAACCGCCTGATTATTGCCATCTTCCAAACAGACCTCCGCTGCCTCTCTACTAGGATCTGATACGCGGGTGCTTAAGGCCCTTGGTACCCACAGGATTTTTTTCACGTCTCCCACAGTCTGTGGGTTTATTAGTTCTAGCTGACTTGTAAAACACGTGTACGTTTTCCCGTCTGACCTGCTGTAGCTGTTCTAGTTCCACTGATCACCCCTCACTGTGGCCTCGTAGGTGCTGCCTCCGCTCCGGGACGTGAGGAATCGGCCAGAGGTGGGGAACTCGCTGCGGAACAAGCTGGTGCGTTTGATGACCCACATCGACACCGACGTGAAGCACTGCGCAGCAGAGTTCCTCTTCGTGCTCTGCAAGGAGAGCGGTGAGTTGCAGGGACTTGTTGTGCGCTTTGGTGACAGGGAGTCCTGGAGCTTGGCCTCTGGGCAAGCCCGAGAGCGTGGGATGGTGACCCTCTGCAGCCGACAGGAACTCTGTCTTCCCTTGGGCCAGATACACTGAGTAGGGAAAAGTGGAGAGTATCCAAGTGCTCTCTGGGAAGGAGTTGTCTCTCACGCCAGCGGTGATGGAAAGCTCTGCTGGAGGACACCCTGACACCCTGCAGACAACCTGTCCTGCATCGAGCCCCTCACCCCGTGGGTGTTGTCCCGTCCGTTCCTGGTGCGTGGTGTGGGAGCCATGTTCCCTGTCAGAGCTCAAAGAAGCGTTGGCATTTCTGGGCCTCCGTGGCCTTGCACCGATCTTGCTGTCGGGGCACACAGGAGCAGACGGGGCCGGAGAGGCAGGAGGGGAAGCACAGGGCGGTCTCTCTCCCCTTCTCCCGGCAGTGTCGCGGTTTGTGAAGTACACGGGCTATGGGAATGCAGCCGGGCTCCTGGCAGCACGAGGCCTCATGGCTGGCGGTCGGGAAGAGGGAGAGTACTCGGAAGATGAAGACACAGACACTGAGGAGTACAAAGAAGCAAAGCCCAAGTAAAGAAGTCTGCTCCCCCTCTATGGCACCCCTCTTCCTACACCACCTTTTGCTCTGTCCCTTTCTTCATCTGCCTCCCTGCCGTCTCCCCTGTCCTGCTCTCACGTGTGCATTTCCTTCTGCATTACTTAGCAGTTTCACCCTTACCTTTGATGTCCTCTTCCACCCTCTCTACCCGTTCCTTGGGTGAAACGCTGAGCTGGCCGAGCTGCTCGTGGTGTGGGTGGTCACCGGTGCGTATACTTGGTCCCCGCAGCTGGGTGGTGCGGGCTCTAGAGCAAAGTGGGTTCCTTCAGCCAGAGCCCATCCTGCACCAGACATGTTCATGGTGTGCACGTGGCAGTATCTCTCTCTAATCCGTGTCTCGTACCCTTTTTTGGCATCTTCACGTCTCGGTGCAGCCGCAGGCTTTTACTGTGCGCTGGGATAAGGGTGGTCCCTTCTTGCAGCGGGGTTGGAAGTGCCAGTTAATCCTCTCCATCTGCAGAGCCCTGCGCTGCTGGAGTGAGCTGGTTTTTGTTGGTGGGTGGGTGGTTGGTTTGTTTATTTGTTTGCTGGGTTCTTTTGGGTTTTTTTTCCTCTTTACCTCCTGGTGGGTGGTGGTAACTTGAGGATGAGGGGTGTGCAGGGAGAGCTGGAGGGATGCATTCAGCTGCGCGTCCCATACAATCTAGCATCCTGTTCAATGTGGTCTGCAGGTTGGGTTTTGGGGCTTTTTTTTTTCCTGTGTTATCTTTTTTGCCTCCTGAGAGGGAACAAGTATTGTGTGCCCTTGTGCACTGCACTGTGGAATTGGCAGGATGGGGCTGTTGCTCACACCAGAGAAACGGGAGGGATTTCTAAAGGGGGACAAGTGTGCATAGGACATACAGAAAGAGATCGGAAGCGCCATGTTGCGCTGCGATAGCATGTGGGGCTAATGAGACGAGCAGCAATGACAGTCAGCCTTGGGGTTGTGTTCCTCTGCTCGGGAGAGGCAAAAAAGGTTTTTAAACAGCCCTTTTGTCACTTCTCTGCTTTACCTCCCTCCTTTGTCCCGGCCTCACTATTCTTCTTGCAGCATTAACCCTGTGACGGGACGCGTCGAGGAGAAGCTACCCAACCCCATGGAAGGGATGACTGAAGAGCAGAAGGAATATGAAGCCATGAAGTTAGTCAACATGTTTGACAAATTGTCCAGGTACTAGAAAATGGTGTATGTTCATGTCTGCATTAGCACCCGTGCGTCTGTGGTTTATGTTTATCACGGACCTTTCTTTGGATGTATTCCCAAGGCCACCACGAACTGACGGGATGTAAGAGAGAGTGGGGGGGATACATGGGGAAATATTTCCTTAGGCGGGGCCCCGTTATGTGCAGGGAAGGCACTGCAAGCCCCACACAGCACCTCTTTGGCGCCATGGCATACTGCAAAATTCCTCTATGCGCCCTCGCTGTGTTTCCAAGCACCTGCTGCCTCATCAGATTTGGCTGGGGGCTGAGTAAGAACAGCAGCCGCTGTCCTGGCAAGGCTGCACGTGCTGGAGGTTTCATGGCTAGAACTGTTCCCTACTTTTAAAAAAGGATTCTAAGTGGTGGCCTGGCGTTGTTCTGGGCTGCCTCCGGGCAGTTTCCACAACCCCACACTGCTGCTGTAGCACTTATTGAAATTGTGTGACCTTCTCCCCCTCTCCTCCCTGGTTGCAGAGAGCAAGTCATCCAGCCCATGGGCATCACGCCGAGTGGCAACCTGGCCCCCATGGAGAATGCCATCCGCGATATGGCTGACGAGAGGTCGTCATCCGACTCGGACCTGGGGCTGGATTGATCCTTGCCCCAGCCTCAGGGAGCTGGGGAGCCTCCGTCCGCTCTCCCTCCAGAACTGGTGCTGCACCCAGAGGCTCGTACTGGGCCGGGACTCTCCCTGTGGGATCTGGATCCAGTCTGGACCCCTCAGTTCACAACAAGGAACACCTCCTGCCTCCTTCCCAGCTCCATAACCACCCCTCCTTCCAGAGCGTCTTCATGGCCTGGCTCCACCTTGGTCTCTCCTGTCAGCAGCCTTGAGGATTTCATACTCCAAATTGCTTCCAGGACTTTCCAGTAGGATTTTTTTTTTTTTTTAAATACATGATGTTTGGGAAGAAGGGGGGGCGGGGGGGGGATCTGTCTGTT